GATTTTGAAAAAGTTGATAATTAAGTGAACAAAATAGAAACTGAGTAATAGATGGCTGACCAAATAGGTAGTTTATCCTGAAATTAAAGTTATATGGCCTCTGTGTGAAATACCCTTGATGCCCATCTGTTTACATTTTTATCCCATGTCAAATTTTCTTTTAATGAAACTCTACTTTGGACCAATGCATAAAATGGTAGAAAAGTAAAGTATTGGATTGATGTCCTTCTTTAGATATCAAATTGTAAAAATATATCATGTGGTAAAAATATATTATAAGGTGTATTCAAAATATATCAAATTTTAATCGGGAATTAATTTGGTTCATTTCAGCCTTAATTTAAACTGTAACAACTGTTATGGTTACATAATTTCAGGCTTTATTTCAGCCTTGTTGACAGTTTTATTCTAAAGGGAATCTACCTATAAACATTAAGGTTTTCAGCCTTTTTTTTAACCATTTGAAAATCTAATTTACACTGATTTTTTCTCTATGTTTTGTTTTTCACTTTTTCAAGTTTTGTGATTCTTTTCGAATTTTATTTTAAGAGAAGAGCAACATTGTTCATTTCTTGTTGGAGGATCATGAGGATTGGGCTCCTCCTGTGATCACATTTATCATCGCTTCAGTGAGCTGGGTGTTAGGCCTGAACGAATTTTGAGTTGAGGATTGAAGGCATGAATGTGTATTTTCCTTTTAGCCTTCATCTTGAATGATTCTTCTAAGTCAGAAGTGTTCTACATTCACCGCATCAATTGTTGATGGGAACAAGTTTGTTGTGTCAACCTTTGGCGGCTCTCTCCTCCTAATTTGGATGGTGGCTCACTCGCCCTAATTTGGACGAAGAGCTGTAGTGATGCAAAGATGATTGTTAGTTAATGATCCCTCTTTTAGTCTTTCCTCATAGTATAAATATTTTGTCTGTAAGACAAACGATGTCAAATTTATGATGACAGTAGCACCTATGATGACAATAACACTTATGATAACCATATTTTTATGTAGGTTGATTTAAACAAGATAATTACAGTTGTCACATATTTATCTTTGGTAAATTATGTGGGACTGTTGAAGGTTTAAGTGTTAATATATTTTTTTGATATTATTCCTTATTTATTTGAATCAATTGTTTTTTGCTAATGTGCCATCAACTTTTAGTTCTTTGGCGTGATGACAAGTCAAAAGGGTTACTTTCCTTTGCCATTAAGTTTGTGCTGATGCAATAAAATCAATGGAGTCTCTTTGCATTGAGATGATTAATTGTAAATCTCTTTGTTTTTCTGGTATTGGTTGATGCAGGAAAATCAATGGTGCTGGTCAAAGATCTAAAACATAGGAGTACAAAGAAATTGCAGCTAATGAGCAAGCTCATGAGTTTAGTGATAGAACAACCCACTGATGCTTCCAATGCTCAACCGTACGGTGTAAGCTCACCCTTTTCTTTGCCACCTTTTGATTCCCTACCCAATCTTCCTCCAGGTCTAAGCCCGCCTGCAAGCTCGTACAGGATCATTCTGAGCCCACCCGAATTCTCGAACACTCCGAGCACACCTCAAACAACACCGACAACTTACATCCCAAGCCCATCAGGATCGATATTAAGCCCACCTTTTTACGAGCCCAGTCCACCGGCCGGTGTCATGAGCCCACCATTCTATTTCCCATCTCCAATTGGGTTAATCCAAGCCCACCGGTTTTTCTACCATCGATAGTATACCCTCCACCGATGGGTCGACCACCTCCCAATGTGGCTCCGGCGACGGCCTTATGGTGTGTGGCAAAGCCTTCAGTGCCTGACCCGATTATCCAAGAAGATATGAACTATGCATGTGGGTCTGGAGCGGATTGTGATTCGATTCAACCTAGTGGGTCATGCTTTCACCCAGACATATTGTATGCACATGCTTCTTATGCTTTTAATAGCTATTGGCAAAGAACCAAATATGGTGGTGGTACGTGTGAATTTGGAGGCACTGCCATACTTGTCGCAATTGATCCAAGTGAGTTTTCCAATTGATTTTTCTTGAAGTGTCATTGTATCATAAGTGAGTTTATACTTCGGTCATCATATTTTAAAAATTAACAATCTAGTCACTCTATTTATCTTATAAAAATTAGGACATTTCATCATTAAACACATAGTATACACTAATATTTTAATTACATTTGAGTGACCGATTAATACAATCATTAAATAAAAATGACATGATTATTTTACATTTAATGACAACAAAGTGATATGATTGTTACAATTCTTATATGACTAGTCGTATATCTAACATCTTACTAATTTAAATTAATTGATTTGTTGTATGAACAGCCTATGATGGTTGCCATTTTGAGTGTCATTGATGGGTGAAGATACGGTTATCCTCTTGGTAGTTACAATACTTTTCTTTCCTCTCAATCTTGGTTTTTTTTTTCCAATAAAGAATGTAAATTTTCATCATGTTACATCACACAAACATAAATTTTGCAAGTACAAAAAAGATTACATGGTATAGATTCTCTTAGGTAAATCCCATTTGTATTTAGGACTTTTTTCCCCTTTTCCATGAGAATTGTACATTGCATTGCAAAACTATTGAAAGATACATCACATATCAATAACAAAGAAGAGGACATATTATTATTATTTATTTATTTGTAACTTTTTTTTTATAAAAATAAAGGAATGGTTACTTGAAATCAATCTCGAGTGCAAAGCTTGACAGTCTGGAGATTGCTTATTACGGAGTGTTACCTGGTTGCCTTCATTCGTTGTTACATGAGGTTATTGTTCACAGCTAGTCTTATATTTTGTCGGGTGCTCCTGTTTAACTCATGTTTCTGATATTAGTATGTATATTCTTTTCCTCTATTTAGATGTATGGAGGTTTTTAACGAAATTCGTATTAATATTTCTCTATGTATAATTGCTTCTAAAGGAAATTATAACTTTTCACAAATAATAATAATAATATCTTTTATTAGTACACCACAACTCACAAATTTAATCTACATTTACTTACAAACCTTCTAAAACAACCTCAAAATTAAACTAAATTAATTAAAAATATTATTATTTTTAGAGATAGACGAAGATTTTATGTTACATGATGCGAACTTGTAAAATTTTAGGGGTATGACACACTTATAGAATTTTAGGGGAGCAAAAATATGTTATCAATAAAAAAATATAAAATATATAAGAATTTGAAATTTGTAGAGCCCAATCTTCTCCCTTGAGTTTATCCTGGATTGTTTCAACTTTATTATTCTTAAATACCAAAGCGTATGAACTCTCAATCTTTATAATTTATATGAACAACAATATCAGTACAAGTATTAAATAGAGCAAACTGGGTTGGGAAAGTTGACCCCATAATGAGCCTCTACAAAATCCAATATTAGTCAATCGATAAATTAAATACCAGTTGTTAATTCAAAAATAAAATTCAATAACATTTGAATTAGGATTAATAAGTGTTTTTGTTTTCTACTTTGCAGAAACCCTAGGGTTGCTCTTAGAGAAAGTCACTTGTTAGTTTCTTTTTAAATTTTGGTTTATAGGCGACTATTCTAGCTTTGGTGTTGGTTGTTGCTGTCGTTTTTTTTAAATTTTTATCTCATATTTTATTTTTTTATTTCTAATAATTTTGTCTTTATGAAATGATTTTTTATGTTTTCATAAAACTTTTTCTATGTCCTTTGGCACCTTTTTTAGTTTTATTTTTGGTCGTTTGGTTTTTTTGTCATTTATTTTTCTCAGGGTTGGATTTGATGTCATCGCGACTGATCAAGATGGGTCTCACTTGTTATCCCATTATCTTCTCTGTTTTGGATCCTCAAATTAGATTCGGATACACATCTTGCGTTCATAGATGATTTTCTCACGATGCTTAGCTCTGATTTGCATTTGTCGGTAGTCTTTCAATAGTTTAATCCCTTGTTGTGGTTTGTTTATCGTAAGAGTCAAATATGTTCGTATCTACCTATTGTTTGAGGTTTTTTAATCGATTTTCACCTTTTCATTGTATGGTCCATATATGATCTCATGTGGCTAATTTTCTGTCTTGATAGTTATAGAAAAATATCATAATTATATGTTTAGCTTACAATTCTAATTGTAAGCCCTCATTATAATTTTGGATATTTTTCTTAATAAAATTAGTTGTTTTTTTCTGTAAATAAATAAATAAAATTCAATAATATATATATATATATATATTATAAGTTAAGGGTAAATTACATTAATGATCACTGAATTTTTAGGATATTTTCACTTCGATTATTAAAACTTTTAAAACCTATATAATATTTACTAAATTTTTATTTTGCTATTATTATGAGAAATCTTGTTAATTGTCATTTAAAATTTGATGTGACACGTTAAGATATTCTTCCAAAAAAAATCATAAGGTCCCAAATTAAAAGTCGGCTTAAAGGTGAAGTTTCTAATAAAAAAGGCGATTACTAGTTAATCTTAATGGTGAGAAAGATTTGTTTAACAAATGATCCACATAGTTCGATTTTAAGTTAATCCGAAAATTGACATTAATCAAACGAAAAGTTATAGCTTTTAATTTTAATTGATATTTAAGGAGATTGGAAGGTTTTTTGTCGAGCTTGAATAGAAGGAGAAAAACAAAAGAGGAAGAAGAAGAAGAAGTAGAGTAATTTAATGATCTTTAACCAGAGAAACTACCAAATGATGACATACAAAAGTTAAGATGACGACATAAGTAGTAATTGCTAAGATTTTTAAGGTTTTTAAAGTGCAGATCAACTATCGTTAATGGTTTAACGACCCAATGACCAAAATAAAAAAATTCCTCCAATTTTTTTTATTCTAGGGACCAAATTAGAAGTACCTTAAAAGTCCAATAACTATTAGTGTAGTTTACCCTTATGTTAATCATGTACTACTAATATAATGTGCATGTTCTAGAGTTTCATCAAACAAACTTTTTTCCAAATCTTGGCCCAAGAAAGCCCAACCCAATCATCTCCTTAAAGCAAACGACGTGAATTTTGAAGATCAAAACTGAAAATGGCTTGAAGCTCGTCGTCTTCCTTGGTTAATTTCGTCCCTCCTTCCTTCCCTCCCTGTCCCGTGATCGTGAAACCACCACCCAGCAATCATTCCTTCTCTTACAATGAAGATTCTCTCTATTTTCTTAATATCATTGCTTTTCTTCGCATTTCCTACGGTTCGCTCTCTTTCTCTTTCAATTTTTTTTAATATAATTTAGATCTGCTTGTAATTCATTCATTTAGTCGATTCGATTTTTTTCTGATTCATTACTCTAGGCTGAATCTACTGGATCCCTTTTCTTCGTCGATAGTTCAAATCATCAATTTTTTCGCTCCCAGTCCTCCACCGATGTTTTTCAGGTTTTTATTTCCTTCATTTGTATTATTTATTTATTTGTTACTCTAATTTAATCAGTTCAATTTTGATTTTTAGTTAATGATGGATTTTAAGCATCACGAGATTGGGGATGTCTTTTTAATTTGTCCTGAAATTGAAGATATGGAAACTAATATCTTGAACCTTAGTAGTATTAAATTCTGCATATGAGAAAAGCGCTCTTGCTAGTTTTGAAGGTTGTAGTGATTACTTGATATTTACTGCGAGTTTTGTTCAGAAGCGCTTTTGAATTTTGATGTCTTCTTAGATGGATCTTGAAAGTAGTAGGGGGAGTATTTTTTTGAAAACCCTATCCTTTTTTCTTAAATTTTTTGTCACGTCTATTAATAGAGGATTGTCCTCTGTTCTTTATGTCTTTAATTTTTAACCTAATTGTGGTCCTGTTTCTCACTTCAAATTGTTCTTTTTTTTCGTTTCATTTTAATAGTCAGAATCAATGCTGTTAGCTGAAGTTGGTGCTACTGTATTAGTCTTACTTGGTTTTGCACCACCCGCTACCCTTTCAGCTGCTGGTTCATCTAAGGTCACTCTTTAGTTATTAATCCCGAGTAATTAGCCTTCTTTCTTCTTTTTTTTTTCAAAGACATTTGTGGTTTTGTTGCAGCTAAATGAGGTTCTCAGTCCTAATCCATTTGATAGGCCTCGAGCTGTTTTTATGCTTGAAGTCAGTGGAATTGATGGTACCTTCACTTTAAGTTGAAGTCCACTTTCTATATTTTCTTTTTCTCCTACTCCCTTGTCTGCAGTTTGTTTAGATAAACATTCTTCTGTCTTCAGATCCACTTGTTGTTGACCCCAAGAGTGCTCTATTCAGTAAAGCCTTGAAGAGTAGTGTAGATCTAGGTTCAAGTAAAGCAGACATTCAGCTCCCAGGTATCTGTTCTTTTGTCACGATATAAAACTAGGAGACATTGGTCATAACTTTTCATTGTTTTGTAGATTTTTCCTAAATGCACATTCGTTAGGAGTTTTTGAATTATATGAATTTTCTTGCAGATGGAGACGAAGTATCTGTGGTTTCTTTGGATGAGCCTCGCAGGGATTACACTGAAGAAGAGATCAATGACTTTGTTAGTTTACTATTCTGGGCTTTATTTGATTCTTTTTTTTATTTGTTCAACCATGTCACAGTGGTTTTATATATATGTTTAGGCATCCTGGATGGGTGGGTCATATGAAGCTGATGCTACGAAACCTCTGCTTGGAGTTTTGACTATTCCGTTGGCAGATGTTGACAATGTGAACCTTCGTATGTCAGAGGTCTTGTTCAGTAGCCACCTTTGTTTCTGTTTTATGATTTTTTCCCCAATACTGGCATAGTATTTTGTCTTGAGTTCTCATTACCTCATTGAAAGCATTTTGCTTCTATTGTTTACAGAAAGCACACAGGGAATTTGTATCAAGACTGCTTGCTTTGTTCCACAATATAAGGAAAGCAATGGAAATGCATGGACAGTTGTTGAAGACTTCACATAGACCTGCTGAATTAATAATGGGTTCTTTTGATGGTATTAAGGTACGACATATGGAGTTGATTAAGCTAATCTGATCAGCATTTTGTTTCTATATATAGATATCTTGTCTGAAGTATTTGAAGACTATCAAATTTAAGTGGAAGGTTTCTTTTATCCTTTTCAGCCCATTTTCCATGATTAGAAACCCTTTTGAATACATTATTGAGGAAGAAAGGGTTTATTTGCATTACCGAAATTGATATTTAACTACCCATGTATCATATTATGACATTGATTTGTACTGACAAATGGCATTCTTACCTCCATACTTGCTAGGCCTTGTAATGTGTGTAAGAAGACATGTCAATTGTATCTTGTGTCTACAAGAATGATTATCATTATAGTTGCTCAACATCAATCAAAAGTCTCTTAGATTGCCTCTAAGGCTCTAACTATGGTTCATGCGTACTGACAAATAGTTAATTCTATCAAGTAATGTATTTTTTTTTTTGCTATTGTAATATCTGTACTGCCCTTTTTTTATGTTTGCTTCCTCATTACATACCCCTTGCTAAACCTTTTATCATTTCCTCAAAACAAAATCAGGTTTTGTTAGAGCAGCAAGACAGAGACGATGTTGATAAGCTAGGAACTAAGCTTTGCTTGCCACACTTGCAAAGATTTATGATTCACTGCAGAAAGCTTATGGAGGTTGGTAAAATGTTGAACTCTGTTGTTGAATGAAAAAGACCTATACTAATTAAGAGTGATAAAAAGTTGCTTTCTTTACTAATTAAGAGCCTATCTCACCATTTGCACGCTCCCTGTGTATAAAAGCAAAAGACAGACATTGTTTGCAACTCTTTCTAGATGAAACTATGAGATATATTTTTGAAATTATTTTTATCATAGGTTTCTTTAGATGCAACCTTGAAGCTACACATGCTAATTTACATGCAAGTCTGTATGCATTTATGCCGGTGATAGTATTTCGTAAAATTTGCGGTGAATGCTTTTCATCTCGAGTTATTGAAATCATTTATCTTTATATTACACATGCCCCTGCAATCCCTGGCTGCCAAATTGTTTAACAAATGTAAATTGATGATTGATCAGGTCAAATTGTTGGAGTAATCGTCTTTAATGGGGTACCTCAGCCAGAATCAAAAGCATTGATGAATGTGATGTATACCTCTGGCCCATCTCGGCGTTGGTTAGAAGATACTAAAAAGTCCCTTAATACCACTGTTGCTGCACAAGTGTTGGTTAGGAGGACCCTTGCTTGGGTAATTGGACTTGTTCTTATTATTGCAACTTTCTTGGGGGTAAGATCTGTTTTATTATACATTAATGTCCCATGCCAGACTTTGAAATGGTTCCTAGAGTGCATTTTCAACATTTTTTTCCAATGGAGGATCCATGATTTTCTTTTTTGAATCTGATGGCTTAAAACTGAAGAATCCTAAGCCTTTTGAGCGATGTCGAAAGTTGTTTTATTTCGGTTAATTTTAATCTGGTTTGGTCGATTGATTGATTGTAAACCTGAAGAGTTGATATTCATTGTTGGTTTGCATGTTCCTGCAGGTTCACTTCCTTGTGAATATGCCACTGATAAGGGATACGCTTTTGTATTCAAATGTGAAGCTAGAATAAGCTGGAATATTAAAGATTTGGGTTTTTATAAGTGGGGAATAATGGAAGGGTAATTTAGTCCTTGTGCATTGGATGTTTTTTTATAACTATCAGTATCGGATCTATTGATCGATAAATTCGGATCGGGTACTGTAGAGACAAGGACAATTCTCCCAAGTCCTTGTGTATTGGATGATGTTGTTGGATTAGGTGTACATTTTCAATCATTATAATTAATTTCGTCTTCTATCCATGTGTTGAATAAATTTTAAATTATAATATGAGATTTTGTTACAAATTAGGGTCTGTTTGTTTGCCTGTAATTGGTTTTTCGAAAAATGAATTACTGGAATTTGAATTACTGAAAAATGAATTACTAGAATTTGAATTCTGAAAAATGAATTATATTTCTGTAAAATGAATTACATTTCTGGAAAATGTTTTATGATGTTTGGAAGATGTTACTTAAACCTTTTTTCCACTAGTTGAAGAGTTTTTTAAAAATTATTTATTACAAATATTAAATATAATAAATAATATTATTTTTCATAAAAGTTAATATTATTATTTTAAAATATTAAAATAATTTATTTATTATTAAATACTTTTTTATAGTTTTATTAATAAAAATATTAATATTGGTATATTTTAGTGAAATAAAATATTATAAATTATATTAATTATTTATTAAAGTAATATTGTTATATTATATTTTAAAAATATTAATTATTATATTTTAAATATCTTTACTAGTATATGTTTTAAATATATAAATAATATTATTCATTATTATATAAAAAATATTATATTATTAAAATAAAAAATATAATATCTTATATTATTATATAATTGATTATATTATTAAACTAAAATATAATATTATATTATTATAAATATTAATAAATATATTTTAAATATTTTAATAATTAATATTTTGATGAAAATGATATTAAAATATTTTATTAATATTAAATTCATAAAATAAAATTATTTTGAGTATTTTTGCTTTGAAGTGAAAAGTTCGGAAAATGACTTACGAAAATGAATCCGTAAGTCATTTTACAGAAAACACAAAGGAAATTCTGTTACTAGGAAAATGAATTACGTTCCGGAAAACGAATTACGTGAAACAAACACGGGAAAACATTTTCTGGAAAACGAATTACGTGAAACAAACACGGGAAAACATTTCCCGAAAAACGAATGTTCAATTCTCAAATTTATCAAATTATTTTATTCAAGTAGATATCCAAACTTGTCACTGCCATTTCAATTTCGACAACTTTTGGGTAATTGAAATATTTTGCAATATTAAGTTCATTTTTCTTTTTAGGGTAAATTATGCATTCAGTACCTAAATTATTAGTTTTGATTCGTTTTAGTATTTAAATTTTTAATCATTTTAAAATCATACTTAAAGTTTAGTTTTTGTTTCATTTTAATATCCCATTGTTAAATTTTGAAAAAAATGAAAACATGTGTAGTACCTAAATTATACTTAAGTTTTGAAAAAACTGAAAATTTAGGTACTTAAACGGATTAAAATTGACATTTTAGGTATAAAACGGATTAAAATTGATATTTTAGGTACTAGACGTATTAAGTTTTTAATGAAGGGGTATTAAAATGAAACAAAAAGTAAAACTTTAGATATGATTTTGAAAAAAAAAATTTGGGTACTAAAATGGATTAAAATTGATGGTTTATGTATTAAATATGTAATTTACCCTTATTTTATAAAGGTTTTTAAAATTTAAGACAATTATTTATTTTTTTGGGTAAAAGTAGTACAAAATTTTAAATTGTATGAGGAATTTTAAATGGGATTTTGATATTCTAAATCCTTTATTAAAAATTTTATCTAAAAAGATTTTTTTTAATTCTTCTTAATTTTCTTTTTATTTAGTGCATATGGTCTTAATGTAAAATTAAATAAATTTTATTTTCATTTAATTATAACAAATATTATTTATGTTATTAGTATATTTTTATAATTCTAATCATAATCATATTGTTATTTATATCATTATTTTTATTTTATATATTTTTTAAACTCATAAAATTTTAATAACCTAGAATTTGTTGAAATAATTTTGTCACACCCCAAAATAGGACATAAAATTCTCTTTAAAAAAATTTTGAGGACTAAATTGAATTTTGATTTAATTTGGGGGACCAAAGTAAAATTTTGATTAAATTTAGATCCAAATTCAAAAAACAACTAAAGATAGAGGACCTATGGCATGATTTTGCCATTTTCTTTTTTGGGTATATATAACCCAAAATAAGAAAATTTTAATTTATTTTATTCTCTCTCTCTTTAATATTTTCCTCTTTAAACAAATCTTTGATCGTCGTTTCTTCGCCGATCGTTGCTCTGTTTTCGACACCTCTCGCACCATCGTGTTCCTTGCGTCATCCCGAGTCCACCTGTGTCCTTATCTCCGTTGTCGCCGGCATGTAAGGGGTGGGGAATATCATGTTTCTGACATTTCGAAATCGAGCTCTCAGTCGTTCACTGTTGTGGACTGAGTTTGGTAAGTGTCTCAAAACCCCTTAAAATAGCTGTAGGAATTTTTACGGAATTTTTACGACCCTCTAGGACGTCCTTGCGCGTGGGGAAAGTCCACTGCCTGGTGGACTGCTTGGAAATGGACCGATCCGATCCGACCCGACCCAACCCGTCTGCCCGACCCGATCCGACCATTGACCATTGACTGTCATTTGACCGTTGGCTTTGACAAAAAAGTCAAAATTTTGAAAAGTCATATTTTATGTTTATCGACGTCCTGAGTCCTATTCTGACTCGAAAGCCCCGAATCGAGCTTATTAACCTGAAAATGCTTAGTATTTTTAGCATTTTTGCTTATTTATTTGAGATTTAGTTATGGAATTAATCCAAAAATATACTTTTATGAAAGTACTCGTGTTTCACCTGATCGAGAGTTAGTTAGATCCGGTGTTTCCCGTCCTTCAAACCCACTCGATTCGCGTTCTACTAGAGTTACCCTTAGGTTTCCCTAAATTATTTAAATAGAGGTTAATATTATTCATATTAGGATTCCAATATGGATTTTCCAATTCGTAGGATCTAGCGCTGCCGCTGATCGTGATCGACAGATTTAATAGTAGGATTTCTTATCAGACTACTCAGATTGATACAAATGTACTTTCTGTTGGTGTTACATTACTGTTTTCAACTATCTGTTTGAACTATTTGAGATTTCTAATAATACTGAATATTTTTACGACACAATACCTAATTTTCTGAACACGATATCTGATTTACTGTATATTTCTAATATGATCTCTAGATTATCGTATTTTTAGTATCTGATTTCTGAAAATAGAATATTTTCATGTTTAAATGGAATAAATTATCGTTTTCATTCGACTACATACATGTTATTTCTGTCATTGAAGGTTTTATTGGAGGAAGTATCTCAAGCCTAGTCTATGACTTGTAAGATCTTACCACTTTCCGCAGGCTCCTCGGCTTTGTGCTCAGGGTAAGTCCTTACCGCAGGCTCCTCAGTTTTGTGCTCAGGATAAGTCCTTACTGTAGGCTCCTCTGATTTGTGCACAGTATAAGACCTTACTGCAAGCTCATATACTTTGTGCACATGGTAAGCCCTTATTGGGTGTATAGTTCTAGGGAACATGGATATTCTTCACCCCCTCACACGCCGGTGACAACGTAGATAAGAAGGACACCTATGAACTCAGGACGACGTAAGGAACACAATGGTGCAGAGGTGTCGAAAATGGAACAACGATCGGTGACGAAACGACAATTAAAGATTTGTTTCTAAAATATGAAAATATTAAATAGAGAAAATAAAATAAATAATTTTTCATGATTTTGGGGTTATATAAACCCAAAAAAGAAAATGGCAAAATCATGTCATAGGTCATCCATCTTTAGTTGCTTTTTGAATTTGGATCCAAAATTTAATCAAAATTTAACTTTGGTCCCCAAATTAAATCAAAAATTCAATTTAGTCCTCGAAATTTTTTTAAGATAATTTAAGGCCCTATTTTAGGGTGTGACAACTCTCCCCCTAAATGAAATTTTTGTCCTCGAAATTGAGCTTCCATTGACTCCAATGTCTCCCAAGTAGCTTATGAAGGGCCACAATTACTCCATTGAACTTTAACCATCGGAATATGCCTATTCTGAAGAATTCTCTTATCCCGATCTAAAATCTGAACGGGCTCCTCCTCATAGGACAAATAAGGTCTCAACTCTACCTCCTCAACATGAATGATTTGACCTTGATCTGGACGATATCACCTCAACATGGATAAATGAAAACATCATGAATGCGACTGACCTGGGGATGCAACTCAAGATGATAAGCAACAGGTCCGAATTTCTTCAAAATACGATATGGCCCAATAAATCTCAGGCTCAATTTACCCTTACGTCCAAATCTCAACACTTTCTTCCACGGAGATACCTTGAGAAAAACTTGATCCCCAACCTCAAACTTGATATCCTTCCATTACTGATATGCGTATGATTTCTGCCTATCAAATGCCTCTCTAAGGCGACCACGGATCAATCAGACAGTATCATCAGTCTCCTGAACTAACTCTGGACCCAAAGTCTTTCTATCATGAAACTATGTCCAACAGATAGGATTACGACATCTACGTCCATACAGAGCCTCGTACGATGCCATGCGAATACTTTCTTGGTAATTATTATTGTAAGCAAACTCGGCTAAAGACAAAATATTTTCCCAATTACCATGGAAGTCAATCACACAACCCCATAACATATCCTCCAGTACCTGGATCATACCTTAAAATAGGGCCTAAAATTCTCTAAAATTTTTCTTGATTTTAGGGTTATATAAACCCAAAAAAAGAAAATGAAAAAATCATGCCATAGGTCCTCCATCTTTAGTTGCTTTATGAATTTGGATCCAAATTTAATCAAAATTTTACTTTGGTCCATAAATTAAATCAAAATTCAATTTAGTCCTCAATTTTTTTAAGAGAATTTTTAGCCCTATTTTGGGGTGAGACAAATTCTTTATCCAAATAAAATAATAACATATATTAGCATTTTAAAATAATATATTTTAAAATTTAAAATCTCAAAAGTTCTACAACTTTCGTTCAAACACACCATAACAATACATCAATTGGACCATAATATATACTAGATATTTGGAGATATTTTAAGTAGAAAATTGAAGTCTATGTTTACTATACTGAATATTTGAAATTGATAAGAACTT